ATCATGAACTAAAATAATGTACAGACTGTAGCTTTGTTTAGTTTCAAGCTCTGTATGTGTGTTCTGTGAATGATCAATTTTCAGTGACATCACAGTACCTACGAAACAATAGTGATAAAGTGTATTCAAATTCGAAGATGAGGAACCCACTTTGAGACTATTAATGGTAGGAGACAGCTTGAATGGGTAATGAAGAAAAACCTTAATATAAGTTTAACATAACAGCACATGTACAACGTTTTGACAAGGGAAACATTGTACATGTGTTGTTATGTTAAACTTATATTAAACTTTTTCTTCATTACTCATTCAAGCCGTCTCCAAGCATTATTAGTGTTAAAATGTAGTTCTGATACAATCTGTTCCATCATGACTTAATATCATTCTTATATGACACACCAAACCATCTGTTAAACAAGTTCTAAAATTATTATACATTTATTTCCCATTTTAACAAGTGACTTGAGGTTATTACATATTCTTGAATTTTGTTCAGTTGAAGTGTCTATTTCCTGTTAATGCAAAGTTGAGAAGGAAATTAATGATTTTTTAAGTGGTATCTGATGTCTAAAACTTTTGCTGTATTTATGTTTGTTTTACATTTTTTGTTTTGTGATTAGCACTCTTAAACATTCCTAATGACTTCTGTGTACAAGTCATGGGAATATAGCCCTGCATGTTTGAGTGTTGTTCTTGTTTGTTTCCAGTACTCTAAGCATAGCATTTCTCAGAAATTAGTTATCAGGTGTTAGTTAGGCTTAGTCATTTGGAAGTATTCTTTATTAACAACCAGAGAATTGAAACTTTAAGTTTTACACGCTCAGTTTTAGATAGTTTTTTTTTTACATTCTTCTTGTACAATCCACTAAGTATATGTAATAATGGTCTGGTTTTAGATAGTTTTTTTTTACATTCTTCTTGTACAGTCCACTAAGTATATGTAATAATGGTCTGAACCTTTCTGATTCTTAATGCTCTTTCATATATTGCCTTTAACATCATCAGAAGTAAAACACTTAATTTATACTGATAATAAAATTTTACTCCAAGTAAATGTTGGAAACCAAGACAGTGTGCATCATGTGTTATTTATTGTTTTATTAACTGCACAATTATTATTACAGACTGAGCATTTGTAGGGAACAAGAGCAATTAATGCCAGTTGTCCTCCACATTATGATTTTTCTGGTAGCTATGTGAACTGTTTTCTAAGAGTTTTGAAAATGTTGAACCAAGAACTTCTGATTTACCAGTACTGAAAGTTGTGACTGCAATTACAGTTTGTGTCATTAACAAAAACCTAACTGGTTCTGACAAATGCATTGAAATAAAGAATAATTTTATTTTGAAAGTAGTTTTGAAAAGATATTATTAAATGATTCCATGAAAATAGTTATAATACTTATAATAATTATAATAATAGTGTGGATTATAAATCGGCTGATGCAACAAATATAGGCAAGATGGGGGAGAGTTTCTCAGTATGAAAATAATTATAATACTAGTGTGGATTATAAATCGGCTGATGCAACAAATATAGGCAAGATGGGGGAGAGTTTCTCAGTATGAAAATAATTATAATACTAGTGTGGATTATAAATCGGCCGATGCAACAAATATAGGCA